TTCTAATTAATTTAAAGTATTATTTTTGCTTACTTGCTTTATTGGTTGTTTTTCTTCTTCTTGCCTGCGCATACTATTTATTGGACTTTAACATGGCTTTGTTTTATCTATGTTGATTTTTTTTTTTTTTTTTTGGGCTTAATCGGATAAAATGGTTTTTGTGGTGATAAGGTAATCGGAAGATAAGTCTCATGATAAAAAAATTTGGATTTAAACCCTCGTGGTGTTAGTCCATTAGCTTAGTCCAAAAGTGATTTTTTTGTTAAATGCAGGGATAAAAATGTAGTTTACCTCACTCTTTCTTTTTATTCACTCTCTTTTAATCTCTGTAATTTGTATATTCATCTTCTCTCCTATCCGTCTATCTCCAACCATTTCGTGGGTTTCCTAACCGGCCAATTCCCATCCTTGATCCAGCCAACCTTTTCTTTTTTTTTCTTTTTTTTTTTTTTGACCCTAGCAATCAGGCAGATTGAGGAATAAGAGAACAGACCAAATCTTCTAGCCGGAGATATACAGTTTTAGAAACTATGGATGCATACATATATCAGGTTCTAATTCCAGATTTGAAAAAAAATCTTCAAAAGTGTGAAGAATGAAAATGATGGTTTATAAACTTGATATATGCATGCAATTAGAAATTCAAATCTGGTGAACATACGCAATGTGCATTAGCCGGAAGTGACATCTAGTACTTGAAATTCAAAGCATAATCAAGGTAGCATCTTTTCAGACAACTAGTATTTGAAATTCAAAGCATAATCAAGGTAGCTGCTTTTCAGTATAGGTTATAAACTTTTTAGTCTACATTGTTGAATATCTTCGGCTGCTGTCAAATTCCGAAGAATCTCACGTGCTTACAATCATTCGAAGAAGAGAAAATCAACGGCCGCTGCCAATGATGGCCTCAGACAAGAAAATACAAATTGTAGAGAGGGAACAGCGAGACAAGGAAGGAGGTGTACATTTTTACCCCTGTATTTAACGGACATTCAACAAGAATCACTTTTGGACTAAATTTGCTAACAGTCTAACACCGCAAGGGTTTAAATCCTAATTTCAATTTTTTTTTAAAGAAAAGAAATTTTTACACACCTATCTTCTCTCCCTATATGTCTAGCCACTAGATTGAATAAATGAAAGGAAGATCAATGAACAAAAATAAACAAAGTTATGCCTAAAAGGATAAAAGAGGTGTGTGAATATCATTTCATTTCTCTTGATAAATCTTTGTTTAATGCATCTATGTGTTAAGCTATACGTTAATTGGTAGCTATTAAGATGAAACTCAAAATAAAAATAAAAAATAGCCATCTGGATTGTGATTAATTCTCTGTCTAATTGAACTATAACATGGTTACATAAAAGGCAAGAGATATTTAGGAACATTGGACTGTTCTTAAAGCATTATGCAAATGGCGAAAATTCTAAAGTATTAATTAAAATAAAGGGTATCACGTACCCTTTTTAAAAAAAGGGTACCAGTTGCTATCTTTCAGACAATACCATAGAATCTTATGACTCACTATTTTTTGAAGAAAGTTGTCGCTTCATCTTAAACTCGTTGACTGGATGGGAAATAACCTAACTTCTTATACACACATGCTAGGTCTCTTCCTTTTTCAACGTGAGATTCATATTCTCAACATGTTCATTCACGTGTGGCTAATATTCAACCCCAATATGTAGACAACACAACTTAGGTGTCGTAAACACGTTTTACTATTGAAATTTACACATGGATCAATCTGCTTTGATATTATAAAAAAAAATCAGAGTTCTATCATAAAAATAAATGGTAATATTGAAAGTAGCCTAACTACTAAAAAACACAAACAAATATAAGAATCATTCTTTTCACAATGTGAGTTTCACTCTTTAAGGCTCATTTATGCGAAAAAAAAAAAGAAATAATACAAAATATGTAATCATTTTGTACAATTAACTAATAAATAGATGATCCAAATAGTGTGCATTGCTAACCAAATAACTAAATGATTCTCAAAATAGTTTGTTCTTTACTAATCCTATAGTTATGTTTGAATGTGGGAAGGGATTGATGCCCAATTATTAAGGAATGGACTAGAAAATGCAACATAGAAGGGATTAGAAAAACCTTTTATGAGCATTACATAAGCATATGAGAGGGATTTTCTAATCCCTAATTGTTAGGTGTTATCTACAAATTTCTCTTACATGCTTTTGTAACGCGCTCATGAGTCATGAGATTTTTCTAATTCCTCTATATAACATTTTATGATCCACTACTTCATAACTTGACATCAATCCGTTAAATCTTGAAAATAGTTCATACAAATATAGCCTTAAGGAGACCTCAAAATGAACAGTTTTGATCATCATACAGGACTCTACCGCTTAGTTGAAAAGATCCATTTTATTCAATTCATGAAGCCCACTATGAGTTTACTGCATTTGTATTAACTAGCCTTTCTACAAGTGCACACCTTTCTGCACGCGCTCATGCGCGTGTGAAAAACCTTTTATAGTTACGACGGGGTATGCGCGCGTGTATAAAATTCTATTTTTATTTTCCATATTTGTACTCAATATAGGTAATAGGGCATATATAAAACCGATTCATCCAATCTTATGGTATATAGAACCTTAGTTTGTTCAATCTTAATATAGAACTTTAGTTTGTTCCATCTTAATAAAGTGTATATATTTGAATAATATTAGGAAAAAATGTATACACCATATGGATTAAAATATAAAACAAGCGAAAGCCAAAAAAATCTTGACTTATCGTTTTGGTTTTTCTCTCATTTGGTTTTGTACATGTACACTTTCTCTGTCATTTGCATTTGATAATTGGCACGATGTTGTATTGAACTTAAAAAAATATATATATATATATAAAAAAACATCACTACCAGAAATTTGAGGTTGCCCTACGAAGTTTCAGGCGACGGGCAAAATTTCATCGGGTAACCTTCACTTACACGACAGACATTGCCAGTGGTAGGGAAAAATAAATCAAAGGCATGCATTGACTAAAAGGTCTTACATGACGAACATAATTCGTAGGCAATAAAAAAATTCGTCGGGTAAATATTTGGCGCCAAAGAGGAAATGCTTTAACCGACGACTACAAACAATACAATATGGTATTTTTGGCTGGAGTAGTACTAAGTTGTTTTAGGTTTATGCAGTAACCATAACAACCGGCCAAATGCTGTTATTCGACACTGTCGGTGCTTGACCTGGTATGTATTATTTTCTGCCGTAGACAGAGTCGTCTAGTTTTGTGTTTTAAATCCATGATAGACATTCTTTTAGTAATATCCCTGATTATTGTAAGACTTGGTTGTGTTAATATAATGCATTACACACGTACAAACACACATATTTTAGATATATATATACACACACACACACGCACCTCATTAACGAAATTGGCTTCGCTACACCGTGATATGTAATTATAATGTTTAATGTATTACGCTAATGGAGCAGGTAATATGTGTGAGAGAATGCATTTTTGGACTCGAATCAAGCCAGGAGTAGGTTAACTGCCAAAATTGAATCTTCATCAAGAAGCACGTGATTTCATGGTAAAAGAATGTATGCATGCTACGACCTTGCAGTCCAAGCCACGGATTAGCAGGTCGCTATTCAAACTTGTTCAAATTAATCTCAAATATGCACATGAAACGTTAGGATTTCATCATAAATTCAATTGACAATAATTATTTATAAATACATGCAAGGTTTTTTTTTCCCCAACGTAGGATACATATATATTCTACACCCTCAAACATGTAACGATTTTTAAGCCCAACACATGAACAATACAAATTTGGTGACGTGAAGCATGTGTGACCATTTGGTTTCACAAATAGAACAACATGAAAGTTGGAGTTTCACCACAATCCATTGGCAATATAGAAAGTAGCCAAAAAACTTATAAATACATACAATGTCCATTCTTTCTCCAACGCGTGATTTCTACTCTCAACAACACCTTCATACATAAAATGTGTTAAATCCACATTATAGCAGCACTTGAAAAAAAAAATACAAATTATATTACAAGGATTGAAACAATATTGTCCATAAATATAGAAAGCCAGAAGACAAAAGTTGAATTATTCATGATTCCAAAATACTCTTCTATAATTAGGATTTTAAAATAAAACAATTTGATTTAAAAAAAAAATCTAGACTAACAAAACAAAACCACCCACGGAGAGGCTAGTTTTTTTCATTTATTTCTTAAATTTTTTTAAATAAAAAATATTTAAAAAATAAAAAGGAATAAAAATTATAAGTAAATAATAAGATGTAAAAGAACAAAGCGCGTTACTAAAGGCAAGTACTAAGGAATGGAACCAAAAAAACTAAAAAAAAAAAAGAGGGGAAAAAGATGTTCTTAGATCATTAACTATGTGCAATACCCGGGGTAACGTATTCACCCTGTCACGATCCTAGTTATTTGATCTGCCATTTACTGGACTATTGTTAGTCTTGTTAGTGTGTCATATCACTTTGAGGTTGATAGGGAAAGCGAAGGATGTCTCTTTCCCCTTCTAATCTCTCTTCTTTCCTCTCCTCCTACTCGAACTGTTACAATTAAGTCACATTAACATTTTATATTGATCTTTTTATAAAGACAACGAGACAAAAAGCACAAAGTAAGAGGAGGAGAGAGAAGGGAATGTAAATAGGAGGGAAGATAATCCTACACATACATACATGACATAATTTGTGCGGAATTCAAGTATTAGTGCCTATACGAAGTACCAACAAAGCGTAGTCGCATTGATTTAGCAACTGTGTTTTCCTTTAGGTCATTTTATACTTCGTTTTCGTGTGTTTGTGGTTTTCATTTTCTTTTTTTTTTTTTTTTTTGGTCTGTTCGGTACGTAATGTGAAATGTTCAATCAAGTGGAAAAATAAAAAAGTGGGGACGAGTCGTGTCTACTAATCAAAGAAGCAACTAATTGCTACGAAGTCTTATTCTATAAATTGCAGTCGAGCGGAGATCCAACTCGCACAACATCTCAAGGGCGACCTGAAGGACACAGGGTGGGAAGTTACTTTTCAGACAAAAATGGGGAACTACAACAACATGGCTTTCCTGGTCTTAGCTCTTGTAGGGTTTATGTTCCTGAGCAAGGCTAATGGCGCCATCCATTATTATTATTTCCATGTAAGTGCTTGCTACATATACTGCATGCCAGCTTGTCTTTATTTTGAGAGGTCATATATTTGATTCTAGTAGAGGCTGAGTTCGAATATCATTTGTCCTATTGTCTCACCCTTACTGCAAATATGTGGTTGTATTTAAAATAAAATAAAAAAGTCTTTATTTCATATTTTTGGTTTCGCAGCTGCAAGAAACAAATTTTACAAAGGTTTGTAGCACAAAGAGCATCTTAACTGTGAATGGAACTTTTCCGGGACCAACCATCACTGTTAACAAAGGAGACACCGCTTTTATCAATGTCCACAACCAAGGATATTATGGTCTCACTGTTCACTGGTAATCTTCGCTCGCAGCCTCCACTAATCGTAGCCCATGGCTAGCTCTGTGTGTGAGTGCGTGCTTGTTTTTTTGACATTGACCAAGAGTTATTGTAATTGAAAGATAGAAAGCTTAGCTTGGTAGATACTTACCAAAAAAGAAAAAAGAATGATGAATAATAAGCTCTGTGGAAAAATCATAGTGATAATTGACAGCAGCTAGCTAAGCGCGTTTTTAAGTTACATCGATTGAGGCTAATGAATACTGAGTAGTAGTCTTTTTCAAACAGAGAGAGAGAGAGAGAGAGAGAGGAGTTTTTGAAAAATTGAGAGCGTGAACAAACTACTTAGTATGGCGGTACAATGATATTCTATTCATTTATAGGTGAACAATTTTATGTTCAAATATCATAAATAGCAGGTTGGACAGTATTTTATTTCCCCACCACTTAATGTAAACATATTGTTCCATAGAGAATAAAAAGACTGAAGCAATGGATGTGAAGGAACACCTCAAATTTGTGTCTTCTGACTTTTGTATAATTTAGTAGGTGAATTCCCATCAATAGCTTTAATGCATGTGTGTATTGTTGTGCATCCCCGTAAAGGAAATTGTAAATGCATTTAACTTTTAGCTCGGTTTGTTTTTGTTTTATAAGTAAACACATAATTGACTGCTCAATTTGTTGTTTAATTTGTATAGGCATGGAGTGAAGAATCCAAGAAATCCATGGTCCGATGGACCTGAAAACATCACTCAATGCCCTATTCAACCAGGAACAAACTTCACGTACGAAGTTATATTCTCCAATGAAGAAGGAACATTATGGTGGCATGCTCATAGTGACTGGACACGCGCCACCGTCCATGGTGCAATTATTATTCTACCGGCTGCAGGCACCACTTATCCATTTGCAACACCAGATGCACAAGAAACAGTTATTCTAGGTACTTTCATTAGTTTCATATCTATTAATTCTTTAACTATTTAGTTATAACCGTGTTACTATTAGGCACCTAAAATCGTGGATTGATCAAAATACATGCAATTACTTAATATATGAACCATCTAACGGTTAAATATGATATTCTCTATTTTTAGTTGCATATATGACTGTTAAATAATGAATGTAATAAATAAATACATATACCTTACCAGATCTTGTTTTTAATATAAGTATAAGTGAATCTGAAATACAATATTGGAGAACATCTCAAATTATGGAAGTGATTAGTTTTATATGCCTAAATAACTTAATGAATGTAAAATGAAAAGATTTTTATTTATTTTCCAACCTCCACGTTACTTTGGTATACACTTTATGGTTTGGTGGTTAAGTAGTCATCATAGCAATCAGGTCTCATCATTTTTGTTATAGAATATCACATGATTCGAAGAATGACGTAATGGGGATTTGGATGTAACACGTGCACTATTTATTAGCTACACGTATCTCAAAATTTAAATTTATCAAACGATAATAAATATGATGATGAACATCATTAATATTTAAAGGTGGTGAGCAAAAAATTTCTTTATTTTATAGTAAACCTTAATTTTCTCATGTATATTCAACTTTAAAATATATTATAAACAAATAGCATATTATTTGTCTATCTTCCGGATATACGAAAAATATCTCCATAATATATGTAAAACAAAAACTAGAAAAGTCTTTTGTTAGTGTTTTTGTGGTGTCATATACAGAATCTAAATTGTCAGTATTTCAATATTAGCATAAACTTATTATGCGTGATGTGTACTGAGAAGTAAAACGACAAAAAATGAGGTATTTTGAAACTCTGGAGCGCATGCCCTTTCCCTTTTTGCAAGTTTCCTAAGGGTAATGTTAGGTAGATAAAAAAAATTAATTCAAATTTGTAAACTAAATAATGTATCATCATTAGAAAATAAACATATTAATCAACACATAAATAATAATCCAATTATAAAAAACCACATCATTTTTTACAAAAATTTAGTTTCCTTATCATTATTCATGCGTAAACAATAGAAAATCAACTTCCTATTTTGCAAAAGATAAACAACTATTGTGGCCCTGTGGTGCAAAAGTATTACATCGTACAGTTGTACCATTGGATTTATTGTAGAGTACGTAAATTATAAATATTAAATTCTACATGTATATACATTAAAACTAAGTATCTAACTTGGCAGGATCATGGTTTAAGGGAGATGTGATGGAAATATTGGAAGAGGCTCTGGCAGAAGGGGGCGATCCAAATGTTTCAGATGCCTTCACAATTAACGGACAACCCGGAGCTTTGTATAGTTGTTCCAATGGTAAGACTAATTAAAGATCCAATTAACCTAATCTAGTTCAATAATATACAACGATCAGCGTGAATGATGGAGACTAGAGGATGTATTTTCATTTTTATCAAAGACTAAAAGGTGTCTATGTAAAATAACATACAAAGAAAGGGATGGGTTTTGGCTTTTCTGACTTGCAGTTTAGTTTAGTGTTTGTTTTTTTTTTTTTTTTTTTGAAAAAAAAAACAATATTATTTACATGAGAAGGAGGTGGGCTTAGTCCCATAATGGACTAGCAATAATGTAGTTCAAATTCGCATTTAGTGAGAATTGAGCCTAACACCTCTCATTTAAAAGTGAAGAGGAACACCACTAGATCATAATACTAAGGGCTGGTTTGGTATTGCTGTGCTTTGAAAAAAAATTGCTGTGAGAATAGGCGGCTGTGAAATAAATCAGCAGAGTGTTTGGTAAACTTTTTTGTAAAAGTGCTTTTGGAAAAACAAGCAGTCTGATAGTGGATCTTTTCATTAAAGGGGCACTGTAGCTCCGTGTGCTTTGAAAAAAAGCCAGTTTTCCAAAGCTACAAATAGCAGCTTCAGTTTTTTCCTTTGATTTCAGCTTATTCTCACAGCAGCTTCCAAAATAAGCCATTTTTTTTTCAGTTTACCAAACGCCTAAAACCCTCACAGCTTTTTTTCATGGGTGCTTTTTTTTTAAGCACCTCACTCCCAAACCACCTCTAAATGTCTCAATTTGTAGATTAGTGAGCAAAACTGAGTTGGAAGAAAACGATGGAAAATCACTATTCAAACTTTTTTTCTATTACGATTCGTTTTCCTTGTTTACATTGAAGTGTTGTCAACTGCAATGATTTCTTAGGTATTACTGAGTTGTTCGAGCTGTATTTAATATCTTTGCTTATTCAGTAAAACCATATTATAAAAAAGAATATCAAATTTCTTAAAAACTTAAGAGACATTTTTTTTTATTTCGTGCATATATATGTATGCGTGTGTGTGCGCGCGCGCGTGTGTGTGTGTAAGCACTTTTTCATTTCGGGTATATATATATATATATATATATATATGTTGTGTGTTATAAGCACTTTAAGGAAATGGATCTTCAAATTTTGAAAAACATAAAAAAAAAAAAGGAAGTTAGTTATGGGGCCCATTGCACATCGAATTTTAACCATCCGAAGCATGTATTTTGTAAGTCTCGATCTATAAATCATTCTTGCAAAATTTCAGTTCAATCTAAAATCGTTGCCTATATAATTATTACGATGAAATTTTAATGCTTCTTAAGGTACCTAAGTATTCGTCAATTTCTTTGAACTCAATTAGATGTCTCAAATATTTTCATTTGGCTAATATTTTGGAAGAATGATCTATGAGGTGCACGTTGAAAAATAGACAATTCGGATCATTAAAATTCGATGCAGTGTGGGTCCAAAAACTAACCCCATTTTTATTAAAAAAATGGAGATCATATTTATATATATATATATATATATGCATTGCATGAAAAGTAAGTTTAGCTTTATTTGCTCTTTGCAAGTAAATTTAAGCCATAAACTCTCTACGCCAAGTTAATTATTCAAATGTAAGAGTACGCCATCTCATAAATAGTCTCTAAACTCCAAATACGTACAAACAGCTGATATAGTATTAAGTGTTTTGATTCCTTCTGAACATAAATTGTTTCTGCAACCAACCTAAAGTTTCACAAGAGTCATCTGTTAGGGTTTGTAGTGATTTGTGTAAAACAAGTACTAATTAATGGATTTTGTGTTGCATGCAGGGACAACATACCGATGGCTGGTTGATTACGGTAAGACCTATCTTCTCCGGGTAATCAACGCCGTGATGAACGAAGAACAGTTCTTCGGCATCGCGAACCACACCCTCACAGTCGTAGCACAAGACGCTTCATACACAAAACCTCTAACCACCTCTTACATCATGATAACTCCAGGCCAAACCATGGACATTTTAGTAACCGCAAACCAACCTCCCAGCCAGTATTACATGGCTTCTCATGCTTTTATGGATGGAATTAATGTTTCACATCACAACGGCACCACCACTGCAATTGTTCAATATAACGGCAACTACAGCACCCCATCAAACATTTCCCTTCCAACTCTTCCGGCGGAAGCCAATACAACTGCTGCTGATAACTTCATTAAGCAAATCAGGGCCTTGGCAAGCGAAGAGCACCCTATTGATGTCCCACGTAAAATTCATTCCAGGATGTTTATCGCTGTTGCAGTCAATGAAAGAATTTGTGCTAATTCTTCATGTGAAGGCCCCGATAACAATGCACTTTCTGCAAGCTTAAACAATATCAGTTTCGTGACTCCATCCGTTGATGTACTGCAAGCATACTATCAGTACGTACAATATTTTTCTTCAATAAATCAATTATTGGTGATTTTAATATTCTATTATGATGGTTATTTTTGCCATTTCAATAATGATAGTTGCTAATGCTACTATTTTTATTGCTAGCATGGGCAGCATCTTGAAATCCTAATTGCCATGGTTCCGTTCATCACCTTTCTCTTTTCTTTCTCCCCCATTTCTCATTTTGTTGGTACAAATCACATTGTGTGTCATTCGAAGTGTTAATATAACGGTAGACATGGTTCATATTTTTCAATTTTAGGGTATATTAATAGAAAACATATTTATGTGTTACAATTTGAATGAAATAGTAATATCGCATGACTACGTTCCAAGTATACCAAAAAACTACAATGGTCCCCTCGTAGTTGCAATTTGAATGATAGTTATACTTTTGTCTAAATTAATTATATTTTGATAAAAGATTGATGGACGTACCTAGTCTCATTAGAAATGGTGAAACACCAAAGTAAAACTCCAATATTTATCAATTAACCTTATTTATTCCCAAGAAAAAAACTTGACCTTACTTCGTTTGTACAGGGGAAATAACAATGGAGTTTACAGTTCCAATTTCCCGGACCATCCGCTTGATCCTTACAACTACACTGGAAACGTGACTAGCAGCACAATATATTCGGACTTTGGGACGAGGGTGAGGATGATTGAATATGGTGAAGGAGTTGAGATCATCTTCCAAGGAACCAACATCATCGCAGCTGAGAACCATCCAATGCATCTCCATGGTTTCAGCTTCTATTTGGTCGGAACTGGTCACGGAAATTTTGACACTACAACATCACCCAAGACCTACAATTTGGTTGATCCCCCAGAAGTAAACACCATTGGAGTTCCAAAGAATGGATGGGCAACCATCAGGTTTAAAGCCGATAATCCTGGTAAGTTCTATAGTTTTGAATGTAACCGTTACAACGTCACATGCATGGTCTCTCTACTGGGGAACGACCATATTTTATAGCATAATACTAAACACACTCAATTTTTTATAATATGGTTGGGTTGGTAATACATATGGTGATAGTATCACTCTCTTAGTTTTATAGCTACCAAAGTAACGTGCGTTACATGTTTGAATTGATTATGATTTTGCAGGAGTATGGTTTATGCATTGTCATTTGGAAAGACATACCAGCTGGGGAATGGTAACTGTGCTCATAGTTAGGAATGGAAATACCAAAGAAACCAGCATCCTCCCACCGCCTGCTCATATGCCTCCTTGTTCCAAGTCTTAGATATTTCTTTGGTTTGGAAGCTCCAGAATGTTGTCTGTGGATTTCTAACAAAGAATTGTAAGATTCAAGTATTTGCCTTTGAGTGACTATATATGTTTTTCTTCATCCTGAAATAAGCCTGATTTATGAATTACTAGAAAATAAGCCCGCGCTATGCTGTGGGAAGTCAGCGTAATAATGGTAACTGGAAGAATAAGAAACATTTACCTGAATAAATTCAACATAATAATGAATGAACAGAGGGATATGTGATCGGTTCCATCCTGCATGTCTATGTTTTCTATTAAACAGAACAATTTGCAACACACTTCCATTCTAAATCCTTGTAAAAGTACTGGGGAAAAAAGACAATTTCCTTGCAAGAGGCAAAAACACTATGTTTGCTAGTACTTGATATAAAAACTTACACCAACAACAATAAAACATTAGCACAGAAAGCATAGGTCCGTAAAATACAAAGTACACACCACATGCAATGTAATGAACATTTCCATTTAGTTGAGTTTAATATACAATACATACGCCGAAATAAGCATTCCGCTTTAGTTTAATACGCATGTTGAAGAAATCAGGAAAATTAAAACCAAATCAATGCATTTTCACTTAATTATTCTCTATCCAAAGAGAAACGGAGAATCCTCACTTAGCAACTGCTTCCTAATTCTTAGAACAAAATGCTATCATCTTTTGAACCACACAACTTTCATACAATCAGAAATCATCGAATCCTTTCATACCATCGAATTTGGAAAAAAATATAAATATTAAAAACCAGAACCCAAACTTAAAAGCCAAAATTAAAATTAGTAAATAAATTGGAAATGTTTTGACGGTGGATGATTAGGTTATTAGGAGCATCGTAATTAGATGAAATATGTGGTCTGCTCTGAATGACTGAAATAAAAAAATAATACCATGGGGGATGGAGGGAGGGGCACACTGACTGGACCAGATGCAATTGCAAAAATTTATTCACAATTTGCAAAAGAAGGAACTCACTCGCTTAACAGGCTCAAATACACAACATTTGCCTGCAACTCTTTAGCATGAAAAATTAACAACTCAAATAATGAGTACAGGACTGAGTAACTCCAAGAAAACAGAATGTTGGAAGACATAAAAACACAGCTAATTTCAAGCATAAACTATCTTTGAAAAATTAATACCTCAAGTTTGTTTTCCCAATCTACACCATAAATATTACTTAAAATTGAACCAACCTTGACAACAAACTGAGGAAGCTCCTTGAAAAAATCTACGGCACTGTAAAACACCCCAATAAGAAGAAAAATAAGATGCCAAAAATTTATGAGCAGCTAATTATAAGCTAAAGGAAAGACGGTCTCGTGCCTAAGAACCAACGAAGTGAAACTTTGCTTGCTATATATGGATATGCATGCTATAAGAAAGATTTATTCCCCCATGTAGTAGGGTGTTCTCTGTAATCTTAAGCTAACCCAAGTAGACTAATTGTAATGATGCAAAATATATATAAATCTGACTGTTTTTTCAAACTGGGATTCAAAAGAATCAATACCTTGGCATATTACAATTACTGCAAGATCATCTTTCTAGCTACGCAACAAATCCAAATCGAGCACCGTCGCATAATCTTGGGCTTACATTGTGGAAAACAGAAGGACCGCCAACGTTTAGAACAATCAACATTACTTGCCAACATCATTAGATGGTGAAAAATTAGGACCATTTTTTCTGTCCAGCCAGTTTAGTTGGCCTAACTCTATGTAATTGCTTGTAATAACAGAATATTCTGATTGATATGGAAAGCATAGTTCCTCTATAAAAAAATAAAACAAAGGTTGGAATCATACCTGCCAAATCCAGAGAAACTGGTTCAAGATGCGAGAGACCATTTATTTCTGTGTAACCATCAGAAGTCTCACTCATCTGCCTCCCAATCCCCTCCAATCCTCCAACAGATGTATAAATGAAACAATGAAATATATGGGAACTCAAAACTCAAGTGACCTTTCTTCTTGGATGAGAACTCAAATTCAAAACTCAAGATTAAGTATCAAAAAAAAGTATAAAGTCATCTTATTTTTTCACCACATAAACAAAAAATCACAGATGTAACTGTACACCTAGAGACAAAAATTATTCAAATTAAGATAAAATTCGCAAATGAGTCATCCAGAATCATAATTATATTAACATTTTTCTTCCCTGATTTACATTCTTGTTTACAACTATATTAGACTTCTAAACTTTCTTGGTCGTCACTTCAGAACTTCCGTCTTTTATTTTTCATGATATGCATGCTTCTCTGTTACAATTTGGAAAAATAAAAGTTGTTAATGTAAATGAATAACAGTTTTAGTGAAGAGAGTGATTTTCCTAATTGCTAAAATAATTGAGTAAATTTCTGTGGTACTCAAATGCATTTAATAAGATTCATTAAAATAAAAATTGCAAGCTACCTTTTATCGTCAGTCAACAACCTTCTACAAACTTTATTTTGGTGCCAGCACGAAGAGTCACAACCTTTGTAAATAACAATTGACAAAAACCTGTCCAGATTTAAGATAAATCTTCAATGACAGTCATGGTTAAAATCTGCCATTCTTCTAGTAGCATTCTTGCAATAAAAAAGAAAAAGACAACCATTGAGTTGCTTTCCTTCCAAATTCAATTAATCCACCATACATAAAACAACTACGGGGAGGAAATCGAAAAAATCCTAAATCATAAAATTTCCAGTGCATGCACCACAAAGCTCCATATACGGTTCTATACCACTCCCAAAATAAACTTATGCAGAAACTATACACCATAAACTTTCTCAAAGATACAATGTCCGGCTTGTATACTACTCAGAAGACATAATCCATCGAAAATTAATCTGCAAGAGGGATAAAGAAAATTTACCTTAACAGCGCCATTAAAAAAATGGGGATCCTGGAGATATTTTGTTTAACCTGAATGGAAAATTAACAGAATTTCAAATTTCAACCAGTGAGCATTTTTTCAAACCCAAAATTGAATCATCAAAATACAAATTCAGTGCAACCATTATGCTCAAGGGAAACTATTGTAACAAAATTCAAATGGATAGCAATCATGTCCGTGGATACCTATGACTTTTCTTATAACAACTTGACAGGTCCAATCCCAAATTCTGATATTTTCCTAAAGATGGTCCAATTTCTCAAAATCTTAAATCCAACTACATTTCTCAATGACCAAATGGCCACATATGAGAACCAAAACAAAGCCTTGAAGGGGGAAGAAGAAAGAAAAAAAAAACAGAGGAAAGGTACTGTTCAGCTCCTGCAGTAATGATTTACCTTTTGTTTTGGCAAAAGTTTCCATTTTGTTGGAGGTTTAGGCATTGGCAGCTGTAGAAAGCAATAGAATATGTCATTGGCAGTCAGACGTTATGCTTAAGAATACAATAGGAACTCCTAAATCGATTACAGAAAAAAAACTAGGAGCATCAACAGCCTTTTTGCGTACTGTTGCAGCCTCTTGAAGTCTCTCATCAACCTCTTTGTTACAGGAGTCGACGTCGCTAATTTGCTAGCACCCATAATTCATGAACCCAATTTAATAAACCGTATTTTAAGATTAACTACGCATTGAGCGAAAACCAATTTCTATTTTTTTTCCAATGCCTGCCAAAACATCAAAACCCGCATTTCTAAAAACCAAATTGCACACAAAAGATATTGGGGCAACTCAAGTTGCTCAACTTAAACACATAATTAGCAATACAAATACTTTAAACTATGACGTAGATAGCTTCAGCTGATCTACATATAGCCAAATTCAAAGTTCAAGACTTGAAATCGGGCTCAAAAACTGGAAATTTCACTTCAATTAAGCAGCTTTTCAGAATGTTTACAGCTTAAATATGCATGATAACAAAAAGAATCATCCTTTGGACACTAACCGAAAAACCCTAATTTATATTATTCAAACTACAGAACCTATGATGACAAAACCAGTTACAGAACCTACCATTGTATGATCAAGATCTGAAACTTTCATTAGCCCAGCTTTGAACAGATCCATGACTATCCTATATCCAACGCAAACCTGCACTGAATTATAATATACAAAAAATACAAACATCAGAAAAACCATTCCAAATCCAAATTCAAACATATGATTCCAATGACATGATGATGGACACACACACACTACAACAAAACTTGCCAGAACAACAGAAAGCGAAAAAAAATAAAAAATAAAAAACCCTAACCTTAAAAACTGACCCAGAAGAACAAATCCCGGTTACCTTCAGGACAGGATATTTAATAGGAGAAGCACTACATGAACATATGCAGTATGAAACTAATGAAAATGCACAGTACAAACTAGGACAGTCGATTAGACCAAAGTAGCATAAAAGCCTTTTTTTTTTTTTTTTTGCTTAATCAGGCTAAGGTTTATACGAGATCGAGCAGGAAAGATTTGTCCTGGGGCAGATTTCAAATCTGGCTTCATCTTGGCTATCCTCAGATCAACAAAGCAAGACCCAACTGATTTAGCTTCTATGCCGACATTATGCTTTTGACCACTGGACCATATACCTAAACCCTATTGATGTTTCCTTGAATGCTGTATACAAAATCGCAGTGTCTAATTTTTGTTGAATACAACAATATTTCTGACCGATCAAACTACTCTGAACTTCCAACCTATTGTGTGTAAACCATCACCTGTTGGGACTGCCTTGATCTCAATTAGAACTAAGCACAAACTTTATTACAATTCAACTGACCCAAAGCTGATGTGCAAAGATTTAGGTTAACAATTGAGCCGGTCCAAGCTCAAGCTCGATGCTTTGTACTTTGGGATGAGCTTGGGCAAGGCTCAGCTTAATCCATTCCTCTTGATTGACACTCTTACTCTCTTAATAATAACTCAGTACCAGCATAGCAAACCTTACACATACTGGCAATTCTTATCACGCCAATAGCAAATGCACAACAATAATAGAGAGCCAATTGTATTACAAAATCAATACAATAGTATGATAAATGTAGTTTGCACATACTATATGTTGCTTGCACATACTATCTGTTGCTTAAATCGTAATAATTTATATTATATTACCACAAGGTATGAAGCTAAACCACAGACCAAGTAGTACTAGGTAGACAACAAGTTTTTCTGACAGCCATACCTCTTGTAGTTCCACTAGAGAATCTAAAGTTCACTTTGATGAGTCAACTAGATCAGAATATGCTGTACTGACACCCTGATGTGAATCACAAAATAAAGACCTAACTGGCTTCTGCAGACAACCTCTCGGGTAAGAACATAATATCTTAACATGTCAAAAAGCTACAAAAAAAAAAGGGGGAAAAGCAAAAGCAACCTGTGGTAATCTATTTGAATTTGAGAATGCTTTCTGAAGCAAGAATCTGAACTCAAGAGCTTTGTCCCAGAGAGCCTTCGGGAAATGAAAAAAAAAACATAAAAAATGGGTAAAATAAACATCGATCAGACAATAATCCGCTACATAAATATTTTTTGTCAACTTTAAGGCTAGGCATAAAAAGAAGCTCTAATCAAGGAGCAATAATTTCATGATGAAAAATAAAACCTATTTCATGGATATGACAAGAGATATTATCTTGAACAATGCACCTTTTGGTTCTTCACTGCTTGACCTTTAAGAAGATCTTCGTCCTTTAGATTCTTTAAAATATCTCTGCATGGAAAGAGGGAATAAACGATGAACAAAATTAACTTCATACATCCGCCTATACCTATGTATAGATGTATGTTCCTTCTTTTTATCTCGAACTCAATAATTGCAGACGCATGTATGACTTCTGTAACCTAATATCAAATTTCGTCACCAACCTCCAACTGCTATGCATATTATCTCCTACACTCACATTATTTAGTTCTACGTCGTCAGTCTAATTAAGCATCACAAGTTTATAATAAAAAATAAAAGGTTTGTGAACAGAAGTCTCTTACTGATCCTGATGACGAAGATTCATGCATTCTTTCTCGAGTTCTTCCGTCTCGGCATCTTTATTATCGTTTTTCTCATCACCATTTTCCTCTTCCCCTTCTTCTCGTCCATCTTCTTCCTCCTCCTCACCGTCGTGCTCATCATCAAAGTCATCCTCTTCCTGCTCCATCTACATCACAAATCATCAATTAACAACACAATCACCAAAACAAAACCAGATAACTACCGAAACAGAACAACAGAATTACAAATTAAACTAACATTCAGCTCATCGCTGTCGAAGTCACCATCGTCCTCAAACTCACTGTCACAGTGACGAGCCTTCCTCCCCATTGGACCGCCTGACCCCTAGAAATTCTAGAATCGATGAAATTTCCTTTTTTTATTTGAAGCGAAACAAATGATATGTATACAGAAATATATATATATATATATATATATAGAGAGAGAGAGAGAGAGAGAGAGAGAGAGAGAAAGAAACCCTAACCTTCTGAAGCTGAAAGAAGAAGGAAGACAGCGAGGGTTGGAGAGTGGCGGAGACAAGTCTGAGAAGCAGCTGCAGGGTTTGGGTTGGAATTACCGGTTGGAATTACCCGATTCTAAAACCCAAACCCGGCTGCTAAACGTAGTTCTCAAATCTGAGAGAGTCCTCGTCAGATCCTCTTTAAGAGGATTCAGGATCCTCCAATTACATTTGTTTATTATGTATTGTGTGGTTAATTTTCATCAAATATTATTTATATTCAATTTTAAATAAAAAAATTTACAAAGATTTTTTACTGCACAATATACTATGAACGAATGTGATTTAAGGATTCCGAGATCTTCACAAAGAGAATCCGGCGAAGATCCTCACTCCCCAAATCTATTGATTATTTCCTCCCTCTTTGATCAAAAGACTTTTAGGCCTGAAATGGGCTTCGTGGGCCAGTTAGGCCAATATTAGACTAAAGGCTGGTTTGGTATTGTTGTGTTTGGAAAAAAAAATTGCTTCTGCTGTGCTGTGAGAATATGTAAAAGTGCTTTTGAAAAAAAAAAGTAGTATTATAGTGTTTAGTAAACTTTTATGTAAAACATATGTGGAAAAAAAACCGGTTTTTCAAAGCTGGGTTTTGTAGCTTCTTGTTTTTGGCTTTTTTCACCCAAAACTGTGAAAAAAAACTGAAGCTGAATGTTTACCAAACACAAAAACAACTCCATCTTTTTTTTATACTAGCTTTTTTCAGAATCACCTTAGTACCAAACCAAACCTGAATAAGGTTCGTCTCATTTGATTTGCATTTTGTTGCACACTTAATAAGGGTGACTTATATACTACCACAATCTGGTAGTAAATCTCTTGATTCAGTAAGTGTTAAATTTTATATTGGACTCATTTAAATGGCTAATTCAATACTAAATTATGATATTTGAATCGTTGTGCGGCTAATTCAAACCCAACACCTCTTAAAATATAATAGAGACTTACCTAAAATACCTAAAATAGTGGTGATAGATTGGCAGATGTAACCCAAGCCAATTTTATAACAATTTCCCTCTAAATCTCTCCCATCTCCTCCAATCCCTCAATTATGGCCATGTCTTTTGTTTGTGGATTTGGAATGAAATTGAGTTAGCACCCATATTTCTTGTTAATCTTTCTCGCATTCAAAACAAAACACCACAATTTTCATAAAGTGGGCACCACATGTTGGGCTTTAATATGCTTGAACCAATTCGAATCGGTTTGTTTTTTTTTACTCATATAAGGTCGATTTTCAATGAAATGAGTTGAAATCAAACAAAAGAATACTCGTTAATGAAATAAGTCCATATAGAGCTTTGCTATGTTCAGCTCAAAGCTAGTGAAATGCTCGTATCTTTTTATCAAATAGCTCGAATTTGGTTCAAACTCGACTTGTTTGTTAAAGCTTGGCTCATAAGTGTACCTTATCTCTATTACAAAATCCAACAATACTTTTATCTGAAAAATATTCAAATAATTATATTTACCTAATCCCAATAATTAATATTAGACCCAATGGAACATGGCGTACTAGGATTGATTAGAGCAACTCCACCGTACTAAGGCAATTATTGTTCAGGCTATTGAGTAAAGGCAATTACTGCTTAGTGAACAATAACTACCCGTGTGCATCTACACCCCAAAATTTTTTTTTTAATTAACAAGAAGATAAATATATGTTTAATTTCGAATAAGATTTTTAACTGATCTTTTCACGTGTTATGATTCTGTAATTTGTAATTTTTTTTATAATTTCTAATATTTATTTTTTACCTAATTAATATGAACCTTTTATTACATTCTTTTTTATAATCCAACAACCCAAAAAGTGCCACATGAGCCACAATAGCTAATAAGTTTTTTTTTTTTCAAAATTTTCCTTTCTTTTGAAATTTTTTTGTTGAAAAATCCGGACTGTAGGATAGAAATCTTGTGCAAATCAAATGGTTGAAGGCCCCTAGCACTACAGGGTTGGTCGGTCCACCGAATAAATCTTCAAGTATTTCTTCAGCCTCGAAGATCTGTCAGACCACAAATTTCTGGTCTATCGACGCCAGAACTAGCCGTCTTCCATCACACTCCTAACCTCGGCTTGGGAGGAAGCAGAAGAGGCTGACCTTCGACGGTCCTAGGGGTCATTCACCCTTGTTCGCGACCTTCCTTTTGGTGATTGATTCAGACCCTTTCATTTGTAGAGATTCGAACTCACCTCTTAATACTTGAAGATGAACCTTTTTCACTTGTTCGGCTCCTTTGTAAGAGGTTTGAAGCTTCTCCCATGCTTGCTTGGCAGAGGTTGCACACGAGACCTTCTCAAAGCCATTGTCATCTAATGCTTGGTAGATGAGGTAGAGAGCCTTCTTGTCTCTCTTTCTTGAATCTTTCAAACTCTCTTTCTGGGGTTGGGCCAGAGTAGCTTCATCTTCACTCACACGTATGTGAAGCCCAAGCGCCTAGCCCAAAATAATAATAACGTAGGTGACGTCACACTCCCTAAAATGCTGGATTAGGTGATTTAGCCCGAGTGAGTAGTCGTGCCTCCGTCTTTTTACTGTAGCCAGACTTGTTTGGGTTGGGGTGGAGCTCATTTTGTTGGTT